ACAAAGAACAGAAGACTGGTACAGTAACTATATAAATATTTTTTCTTAAACAGTACAACTGTTTCTTCCCAACTGACTAGTAAAGCAGCTCTATAAAGCAATGTGCTTGTAATTTTGAAGCTATAAAAATATACAATTGTCCCTCACTACTACACGGTTCATTTATTGTGGCTTCACTGTATTGCAGGTTTTAACAAAAAAATACAGTACCCATATAGAATTTTACATGTTGTTAAAATTACGTAGTTTAAGAGTGTAGAAAGCCTTTAAGAGCATATGAAGTGTTTATAAGAGTGTGGGAAAGGTTAATAAGAGAGTGGGAAAGATTTATAGGAATGTGGGAAGGGATTATAAGGCCTTAAAATATATATAAATAATAAAATAAATATAACACTACTGCTTCACGGATTTTCACCTATGGCGGGGGGGGTCTCTGAAATGTAACTCCTGCGATAGGTGAGGGATCACCGTAGTGTTTACAAATTACACTTTTAAAGGGGTGAGTGGGAGCAAAGCTGTATTGGAGTAAGAAAATAAATGCAAGATGCTAACTCATCCATTTTGACAAGTAAAAAATTAGCAATAAGAGGTTAATAAAACAAACACCATGAATATTTGCTTCTTTTTCATTGTTCTCTCAGCTTCTTTTTTTTTTATTTTTATTTTTTTTTCTCAGCTTCTTTAAAGATAAATTGTATAAAGTATTACACCAACATATTTGTTGGGTTTGTATCATCCACACTTGTAATAGGTTTATCAATCATAACACGGATATGGAGGAAAATGGGATAGAGCCATATAGACATTTCTGTATTTCACTAAAGTGAAGTCTGAAGTTAAGGTAAGAATTATATGATAACCTTAGAACAATCACTAAGAAAATAAATATGTAATGAAAATGTTAAAAGTAATGTGATACTAGAAAAATTCACATACTCAAAAAGCAGCAGAAAGCAGGAATCAAGGATTAAAACTGCAGAAATCCAAAGTAAAGTGGCAGGTGTAAATCCATGTGTAAAAGTAAACAATAAATGTGAATTAAACAATCTTATCAAAAGACAGATTGTCAGTCTGTATAAAAGAACAAGATCCAAATACGCTGACTATAAGAGATACATTTTGAAAGGTTTGAATAGGCTGGAAATAAAAACGGCAAAAATCTATCCAAACAACAGGAAGGAAGATAGAGTGAATATATGAATACCAGGCAAAATATACATTAAAACAAAGTTTCTAGAGATAAAAGAAAAACTTTTTGAATAAAATAGTGTCAACCATCAGAAAGCTATAACAATTACAAACATATATGCACCTAACAACTGCACCAAAATCATGAAACAAAAACTAATGGAGGTGAAATCAGAAATACAATTCAACAATAGCAGTTGAAGGCTTTGGCAACCCTTTGCAAAAGTTGAAAAAAAAAAAAAAATAGAATGAGAACATTTGACCAACATTAAAAACTACTCAGTATCAGCAGAATATATGTTCTCAAATGCACATGGAAAATTTTCCAGGGTAGACCTTCAGCTAAACCATAAAACGTAATTCAGTGAATTAGAAGTTATTTCAAGTATACAAAATCTGTTTTTTGTCACAATGGTATGCAATGAGGTGTCAATAACATAAATGTGGAAAGTAAGCCACACAGTTACTTGGTTTTGTTTTTGGTGGAACTGGAGATGGAGTCTGGAACTTTCACAACTGTCCTACAAATTCACCCCTTTTTTTGTTTTGTATTTTGAGATATGATCTTGCTAAGTTGCTAGGATATCACTAAGAGCCTGAAACTTGGGGTCCTCCTCCCTCCCCCTCCTAGAGTACTGGGATAACTTGCAGGGATGTGCTACCACACCTGGCTGCAGCACAGTCTTAACAATCTGGGTCACATAACAGAACACAAATGATATTGCAAATGATTCTGAGTAAAGTACAATGAAGATATACCCAAACTTAGAGCCTGTACTTAAAGTGGCACTAGAGGCAAATTTGTGGTTTGCATACGTATATTAAAAACAGGCTGAGCACATGCCTATAATCCCAGCACTCCAAGGGGGTGGGGGGGTGGGGGTGGCGGGGAACGGAGGCAGGAGGATTGTTGCAAGTTTGAGAGCCTGGGCTACAAAGTGAGCTCAAGGCCAGCCTGAACTGCATAGTGAGGCCCTGTCTCAAAAAAAAAACAAAAACAGAAACAAAACAACAAAAAAACCCCCAGAAAACTAGGCTGAGGCAGAAAGACTGCAAGTTCCAGGCCAGCCTGGCCTACATAAGTGACTTTAAGGCCAGCCTAGACTATGTAGTGAGGCCCCTGTCTCAAAAATAATAGAAGAAAAACAAATACCTCAAATACATAGCCTCATCTTTTACCTCAAAAACTAGAAAAATGAGAGTAAACTAAACCCAAAGCAAGCAGAAGGACTGAAATAGTAAATATTAGGGTAAAAATAAATGAGATAGAAAATAGAAAAAAATACAGAAAATCAGTAAAACCAAAACTTGGGTCTTTGAAAAGATGAATAAAATTGAAGAGAAAACCCAACAATTCTGGAATGAATGAGGAAATCTTATTGTGAACCTGACAAAAGAACTAATAACAGTTTTTCACGAACTATTCCAAAACAGAACACTCTTCCCTGGCTTGTTTTAAGAGCCCACAATTACCATGATGCCAAGAAAGATTTATCTCAGTAACATAGGGTTGGCTCAAGCTAAGAAAATCAATCAATGTAATATACTGTATTGGTAGAATAAATGGTAAAATCCATTGCATCCTCTCAGTTGAGGTAGAAAAAGCATTTGATGAGACTCGGCATCCCTTCATGAGAAGAACATTTAGCAAGCTAGGAACTGAAGGGAACTTTCTCAACTGATAAAGGGAACCTATGGAAAACCCACAGTTCATACTTACTGGTGAAAGGACTAATACCAGAAATAAGAAACAGAGGCCCACTCCTGCCACTTCTGTTCAACATTGTATTGGGGATTCTTGTTAGGATGAGCAGTTGAGCAAGAACCTGTAGTTGCAGAAAGTACAGTAAAACAGATTGGAAAGGACTATAGCAAAGTAAGGAGGCCCACCGGGACAGCCTGTCACCCTCCAGTCAGTTCACCTTTATTAGCCAGCAGAAGCACAGGGGGGTGGGGTTGGGTGTCATTTGTGATGCAGTGGAAGGAGATTTTGAAAAGGAACAGGCGTACTTCAGAAGAGGTGAAGGTGCAAGGGGGCCAGCCCTTCTCCACACCCGTGTGACCGCACAGGATACCGGGGCTCCTTGCTTTCTGGGGTCCTCGGTGGACACGACCTTGCCCTGAGAGCACTGTGCTGATGAGTTTCCCCACACAGCCAGAAAACATCAGCTTTCCACATACTTTTCCACTCCAAAGCAAGACAGCAGGGGCCTCAGGACTGGGGGGCTTCGGTCATCCTCTTAACCCTCGTACAGCCCGTCCCCGACAGTGGGTGAGGGTCTGACGGCACTGGTAGAACACGGTGCCCCGGCATGTGGCTTGTACACTGCAGGGTCATTTCTCAGGGACCTGCAGGCTGGAAGCTCAGGGTCTGCTTGCCAGCGTGTTCAGGTCTTCAGGTCTGGATGAGGACCTCTGCTGGGTTCCAGATGGCTCACCTCCCTTGTACACTCAGTCCTGACAGTCATTTTGACAAGAGCCTGTGTTGGATACTTTTCTCATTGCAGAGACAAAAGGCCTGACACTCACAGCTTAAGGGAGGAAAGGTTTATTTCAGCTCACGGTGTGCAGAGCTTTCAGGCCGTAGCCAGCTGGCTCCAAGGCATGGTGGCATGGCAGAGGGCATCGCAGAGGAGAAGCAGTCCAATGCAGGGCAGACAGAAGGCAGCAAGTGGCCGCAGCAGCCTGCCTTCCCTCTCTCCCTTTATATTCCACGCAGGCTGCAAACCTACTGACTGGTGCCCCCCACACGCAGGCTGGGGCTTCCATTATCTACCCCCTCACTCCCAGTATCACACCCTTGATCCACATTCACACGCTAATCCAGCCACCTTCAAAACTCCCAACCTGTGATGCATGAGGCTCTGGGGGGACATCTAGAGACAAGCCCTAGCAGGGCACTCATCCGTTCCTCTGGCTCCACCTAATTACCTCCCGGCCCCACCTCCTACTGCTAGCACATTCAGGACTTCGACATGAATTTGCCAGTGGGGGGACACCAACATTCAGTCCCTAGCAGCAAGCATCCATGTGGGTTCACCTGTAAATACCTCACAGGAGCCAGCACAAGTGTGAAGCGCCTCCTGGGTCTTGCTGGTTGCCTGCTCTGATCACGTTACATGTGTACAAGTGTCTCTGTGATTTGCACTGCCGGTGCAGTCCCTATGGCTGTAGTTCTTTCTCTAGTGACCACATCATTCTTTTTAACCCACAAACTTCTTTTCCTCTGCCATCCTGGGGATCAAACTCAGAACATAGGCGTGCTGATCAAGCACTCTACCACAGAGCTATATCCCACTTACTTCTCACTTACTTTTTGAGACAGGGTCTTGCTAAGTTGTCCAGGTTGGCATTGCAATCCTCCTGTTTCAGCCTTTCAAGTAGTCAGGATTACAGGTGTGTAGCACCACACCTGGCTAACTTACGTCATTTTAAAATGAAACAAGTTTGTTGTAGTAACACAAAGTAGTTTTTGAATTAGTGGGCCCAGTTTAATGTTTAGGAATATGAGACTGAAATCTTGGTGCTGTATCCTAGGAATCAGAGGGACTCACTTAGGAGAGATACTGTTGGTCATTCGAGATACATTTCAATAAATGAGATACTCGAGAAAAATGTGGAAGAAAAGTATCTCATCTGTAACTGCACAGACTAGGATTTGACCTCACTGAGCCAATGTTTAAATATAAGTAAAAATATGCCTGCTGTTTTATGAAAGGTCTGGGGAAAGAAAGAGGTCTGGGTGCTAAAAAACATTGGCAAGTTAGGAAACTATGGCACAGCGTAATTTCTGTATTGTGTTTGTATTTCAGATGTCTTTGGTGCTTGATTCAGAATATGTCCAGATACATCACAGACATTAAGCCTTTGCCGCCCAACATAAAAGATAGACTGATTAAAATAATGAGTGTACTGGGACGGATAACAGATTCAAATATAAATGAGGTAAGAGTGTATAACTGCAAAGCAAGCATATGTCTTTTGAGTTGTTTTGTTTTACACACAAGGTCTTGTTCTGTAGTCCAGGAGGTCCTGGACTTGCAGTCCTCCTGCCTCAGCTTCCCAACTGCTCAGATTCCAGGTGTGTGCCCGATCTGTATTTTACTGTGTAAATATAGCTTTAGATTTTCTGAGCAAGAAGTTGTAATAGAATTAGGAATCATTTTAAAATACAAATCATCTGGGACAGTTTTCTTGCTGATAACGAAAATGTCCTAAAACAACTTCTCCCACCCTTCTTCCAGTCACTTCCCTTGTCTACCTGGTACTAGCACCCTTTGTGTCCATGTTTTCAAAACGCTTATAAACTGTTTGAAACAAAGAACAGATGTTTCCTCAGGACCGGTACGCAAATCACACGTTTCTGTGCAGCACTTCATGCAGTGCACCTTGGTAGTTTCTGCATTAGTTCATCTGATTTTTGTCTTAGTTCATCTTTTTCAATGTTGATCACAGCCTATTAAGTTGATTTCCTGATCCCCTTATGCAGAGCAGTCAGCAGGTAGAGTCCTTTTTCTGAGCGAGTCCCATCCTTGTGGATGGCTCCTTCCTTCCTGCTGATTTGTACTGACTCCCTTTCCCTGCAGCGGTGTCCACCTCTCCTGCACCGCCACCCTTCTTGGCTTTTCCGTGAGGCGTTATGTGTAGCAAACTAATGTTCTAGCTTTGCCTCTCCTTCTGACATGACGCCTCAGTTCTCTGAACTGTAAAATGGGAGGCGAAAGTAACCGCTTCAGGGGTCTTTTGAGGGTCCCAGTATTTCACAGTAGTTAATATGTAGCTTGGGAAATCAGTGAGCTTAAAATTGAGCGCACAGCTTGGCCAGAGGGAGACACTGGGTTTCTCAGTTCAAGGGCAGGCAGGAAACAACTGAAGGAGGTGGCCTAGTGTTGAAGCAATGAGACTGGTGATTTTCTTCCAAGCTTTCGTGCTATTTACATTTACTAAATAATTGCTTAGTGAATGGTTTATAAACGTTATCCTTTTCCTCTGAATTGTCAGTGTTAAAATGTAATTCTATGCCGGGTGTGGTGGTGCATGCCTGTAAACCCAGCACTTTGGAGGTTGAGGCAGGAGGATTGCTGCAAGTTTGAGGCCAGCCTGGGCTACATAGTGTGTTCAAGCCCAGCCTAAACTGCCTAGCAAAATCCTGTCTCAAAAAGACACACACACACCACACACACACACACACACACACACACACACACACACACGGGTAATTCTAAAAACGTTAAAAATACCGTTCTTACACAAAAAATATACATGTGCTAAAGGTTTCAACAACTTATGAATAAAAAACATAAATGGAAAACTAATCCAAAAGAGTATCTGAAAAAGTGATACCTTCTGTATGTTTACATACACAAATTGACACAAAGATAGAAGCTGAGATAATGTACTAAGTTAGACACAAAATTGGAGAATATCTTCTAGGACAATAAAGCTGTCCACTAAGCCTGTCATCTCTACTGAACAGAAATATTTACATGTAGTGGGGGGAAAAGCCCTTTCATTCATCATTTTTCTACAAGTTAAGATCTTTACAGAATGGCAGTTGGGATTTTTGCTTTGATTACTAGGCAACAGGAGAGAATAAACAGTGTTCCATCTTCCCACACAAGCAGCTGACCATGAAAGGGTGTTGTGGGTGAACTGTACTCCCTCCTGCCACCCCACAGTAATTTCAGAACATGGCCTTATTCTGAAATAGGCCTTTGCGGGTGAAATTATGAGGTGGTCATGCTGGGGTAGGGGGGCCCCAGACTCCGCAGGGCCAGTGTCCATGCGAGACATGGCCAGGAGGAGAGGAGTCCTGGGGAGGCGAGGCGGGGCCTGGGGTGACACCTGAGACCAGGACTGCTGGATTGCAGGCCCTTGGCTGTGCGTGGCGCGGGTGGGGCCCTCCCTGTGAATTCTCTGAAACTGATTACCTGCCTGAGCTGCTCAAAACAAGTCTCATCCTGTTGTTCCAAGCCACTGTTAGCTGGAATTTCTTGCAACTTGTTTTCCTGTGGAACCCTTGGCTCCACTCTCTCATGTTCAGCAACAGAGCTCTCCTTAGCTCTTCTGAGCACTTCTTATATTAATAATATTATTTTATAATTCAGTACATCCATCAAGTGTTGCAGTGAATATACTGAATATTTACTCTTTCAGGTTCTTATAGGGAGGAAATACAATGTTTATACATGTGAATCTGATTTATTTCACTTATGAGTATGGTCTCTAGTTGCATCCATTTACCTACAAAAGTCTCTAGTTTATCTTTCTTTATAGCTGAGTAATATTCCGTTATATAAAATTATCACATCTTTTTTATCCATTCCTAAGTTGATGGACATTTGTGTTATTTACAAGATTTAGCTATTACAAATTGTGCTACTGTAAACATAGGTGCACCTATATTGCTGTGGTATGATGTTTTCTGTTCTTCTAGAAAAATGTCCAGGAGGGGAATAGCTGGGTTGAATGGAACCTCTAATCCTAGTTTACTGAGAAATCTCCAAACTGAGATTTCCACAGTGGTTGCACCAGTCTACACTCCTACCACAGTGGAGAAGGGTTCCTTTTTCCTCACAGCCCGTCCAGTATTTGTTATATGTTGATTTTTTGATGTGCAAAAACATTCTTTCTGGGGTGAGATGGAATCTCATTGTTGTTTTAATTTGCATTTCTCGATTGGCTAATGATGTTGAACATTTTTTCGTGTATTTATTTGTCATTTGCATTTCTTCATGTGAGAAGTGTGTATTCATCTCAGATGCCCATTTTTAGAATGTGTCTTTGAATTTTGGTGGCCTGATTTTTTTTTAATTCTTTATATGTTGTAGACAGGAGTTCTTTGTCTGAGGGACAGTTGGCTGAAGTTTTTTCCCAATTTGTGGGTTTTCTTTTTACCCTGTTGGTGATTTCTTTCGATGTGCAAAAACTTTTTAAAAAGATGAGATCCCAGTTGTTGATTTTTTCGAAGTATTTCCCATGCAGTTTGGTATTTATACCTACCCCTATGTCTTTAAGACTTCCACCTACTTTCTCTTTCATTAGATCTAGTTTTTTGTTTTAATATTTAGATCTTTAAGCCATTTTGACTTTATTTTGGTGCATGGTGATAGGCTTGGGTCTAGTTCTAGTCTTCAGCATGTGGAAAGCCAGTTTTTCCAGCACCATTTTTAAAGAGGCTATCTTTCTTCCAGTGAACATATTTGATCCCTTTGTCAAAGATAAGGTGGAGTGTCTTTGTGGTTGTGTCTGCATCTTCTAGTCTGTTCCATTGATCTTTAGATCTGCTTATTTTGCCAATACCATGCTGATTTTATCACAGTAGCTTTATAGTATAATTTCAAATCAGGGATTGTTATACCTCCTGCCTTGCCTTTGATGCCCAGGATAGCTTTTGCTATTTTGGGTCTCTTCTGGTTCCAGAGGAATGTTAGGAATGTTTTCTCTAGATCTGTGAGTTATACCAATGGTATTTTCATCGCAGTTGCATTGAATCAGTATAACAATTTTGGGAGTATAAGCATTTTCACAATGTTGGTTCTGCCTATCCATGAAGAAGGAATATCCTTCCATTTTTTGAAATCCTCTTCAATCTATTTTTTCAGAGTGCTGCATAGATCTTTTACTTCTTTTGTTAGATTAATTCTAAGTATTTCAGTTTTTTGGATGCTATTGTGAAAGGTATGGTTTCCCTTATTTCTCTCTCAGTATGTTTGTTGTTTGTGTATAGGAATACTATTGATTTTTGAGTGTTGACTTTGTGTCCAGCTATGCTACTGAATTTGTTGATTAATTATAAGAGTCTTTTGGTGGAGTTTTTGGGGTTTCTGTGTAGAGTGTCATGTCATCTGTGAATAAAGATAATTTCACTTCTTCCTTTCCTATCTTTATTCCTTTTATTTCTCTCTCTTATCAATAGTTCTGGCTAGTGTCTCTAGAGCTATGTTGAATAGGTGTGGTGACAGTAGACATTCTTGTTTTGTTCCTGATTTTAAAGTGAAGGCTTTCAGTTTTTGTCCATTTAGAATGATGTTGGCTCTTGGTTTGTCATAGATGGCTTTTACCAGATTGAGGTAAAGTCCATCTGTGCCAATTTTCTGTAGGGTTTTTATCGTGAATAAGTGTTGGACTTTATCAAAAGCTTTTTCTGCATCTATTAAGATGATCATGTGACTCTTTACCTCTGTTGGTATGGTGTGTTATATTGATTGATTTGCATACATTGAACCATCCCTGCATTCCTGGGATGAATCTCACTTGGTCATGGTGTGATATCTTCTTGATGATTTCCTGTATTCTGTTAGCTAGTATTTTATTGAGAATTTTTGCATCTATTTTTATTAGGGAGATTGGCCTCTAGTTCTCTTTTTGGTTAGTTCTTTTTCTGGTTTTGGTATCAGGATAATACTTGCCTCCAGGAATGAGTTTGGGAGAATTGCTTCCCTTTCTATTTTTTAAAAGAGTTTGAGAAGAATTGGTGTTAAATTTTCTCTCAATGTCTTATAGAATTCAGCTGTGAGTCCATCAGGACCTGGGCATTTTTTTGTTGGTAAGCTCTTAAATTGCATTTTCAATTTTATTGGCTGATACTGGGTTATTCAAGATTTTTATATCTTCCTTGATTCAGCTTTGGTAATTCATATGTATCTAGGAATCTGTCCATTTCCTCTGTGTTTTCTGTCCTATGAGAGTAAAGATTTTCAAAGTAGGTATTGATGATCTTCTGAATTTCTGCAGGATCTGTAGTGATATCACCCCTTTCATTCCTTATTACTTGGATTTGAGTTTTTTGTTTCCTTTTTTTGATAAGGTTGGCAAAGGATTTATCAATTTTATTTACTTTTTCAAAGAACCAACTCTTTGATTCATTAATTCTTTGTATTGTTTTCTTTTTTTTAATTTTTTGTTTTGATTTTTTTCCAGTACTGGGAATTGAACTCACAACC